GGAGAAGGAATTTCACACTGAGACACCCAAATGGCCAAAGAAAACAGGGAAAACAAGCAATTAGAATTATGTAGCTCTTAAATACTGCTGATACACATTTTTTAAAAAGATGTGAAAGTGAAAACAGAAAGGAAACATGAAGTGATTGAACCCAGGACTGTTAAGCATAAAGCTGAATTGCTCCCGTTGCATAAAGCAAACCTAACCTTGCCCACTAGAATGTCAGTAAATAAATCTGTTTTGAATTCCTTCTCTTTTCTCATTAGCAAACAATGCTACCCAATTTCTGCCATTTCTTTGAGAACTTCCAGTTTCCTATTTTTTAAAGTTTTTATAGTCCCTGAATCTATTCTGCTTTCATTTTTTTAAAATTATTGTTGTGCCTGGTGGGGGTACATTTAAGTATTTGCAAAAGTTCTTACAATGTATCAAATATGTCATACTTGAATTTACCCCCTCTGCTGCTCTCTTTCATCCTCTCTTCCCCAATTCTTGGAAGTTTCAACAAGTATCATTTTTGCATATTCTTACATGTGTATACATTATTTGTACCACCTCTTCTCCCCCTTCTCCCCCTCTCCTCTTGTTCTCCGATTTTGTAGAAGAAAAAACCATTAAAGATAATAAGAAAAACATGGCATTTTTGCTAGTTTGAGATAAAGATAGCTGTACAGAGAGATTCCTAGTGTTGCTTCCATGCATATGTGTATTACAACCCACATTGGTTCATCTCTACCAGACCTCTTCACTACTTTCTGGTCACTTTCCCACAGTGGCCTCTGCCAGTTTAAGATTACTATATTTGCTCCTATACAGTGAGCACATCAACCACATTCAAGTTTTTGGTTTCCTTCCCTTTCCCTTATTCCTCCTGTGCTCATTCTTCCCTTAGTGTGTGACTGCATTTGTTTTAGGTCTATAATCCGCATATGAAGGAGAATATGTGATTTTTGGTCTTCTGAGCCTGGCTAACTTCACATAAGTTGATGTTCTCCAGTTCCATCCATTAACTTGTGAATGACAAATTTTCATTCTTCTTTGTGGCTGAGTAAAATTCCATTGTGTATAAATACCACATTTTCTTAATCCATTAGTTGGTAATGGGGCATCTTGGCTGTTTCCATAACTTGGCTATTGTGAATAGTGCTGCAATAAACATGGGTGTACAGGTGCCTTTGGAATAACCTGAGTCACATTCCTTTGGGTATATCCCTAGGAGTGGTATTGCTGAATCATATGGCAGATCTATGTTTAGTTTTTAAAGGAACTTCCATATTGTTTTCCATAGTGGTTGTACTAGCTTACATTCCCACTTGCAGTGTATGAGGGCTCCTTTTCCCCAGATCCTTGCCAACATTTGTTGTTGTTGTTGTTCTTGATGGTAGCTATACTAACAGGGGTGAAATGGAATATTAGTGTGGTTTTGATTTACACTTCCTTTATGGGCAAGGCTGGTGAGCAAGTTTTCATTTTTTTTTTTTTTTTTTGCCATTTGGACTTGTTCCTTTGAAAAAGTTCTGTTTAGTTTAGTTGCTTACCTCTTTATTGAGTTATTGATTTGGGGGGGAGTTTAGTTTTTTGAGTTCACTGTATATTTTGGTTATCAGTTCCTTGTCTGATATATAGCTAACAAAGATTTTCTTCCACTCTGCAGGTGGCCTCTTCAATTTCGAGACCATTTCTTTTGTTGTGCAGAAACTTCTTAATTTCATGTGGTTCCATTTGTCAATCCTTTCTCTTAGTTGCTGAGCTACTTGTGTTCTACTGAGGAAGTCCTTGCCTGTGCCTGTTGCTTCCAGTATATTCTCTGCTCTTTCTTGTGCTGACTTCAAGGTTTCAAATAGCCTCAAAAAACAAAACAAAACAAAACAAAAACCAAATACCTAGGAATAAACTTAGCAAAGGATGTAAATGACCAATACAAGGAGAACTACAACCCATTAAAGAAAGAGATTGAAGACTACAGAAGGTAGAAAGATCTCTCATGCTCATGGAGTGACAGAATCAACACAGTAAAAATGGCTATACTACATGTTTAATGCAATTCCCATCAAAATCCCAATGATGTTCATCACAGAGATTGAAATATCTACCCTAAAGTTCATTTGGAAACACAAAAGACCATGAATAGACAAGGCAAAACTGAGCAAAAAGAGCAATGTTGGAGGTATCACAATACCTGACTTCAAACTATATTACAGAGCCATAGCAATAAAAACAGCATGGTACTGGCACAAAAATAGACATGAAGACCGGTGGAACAGAATAGAGGACCTGGATATGAATTCACACAGCTACACTCAGTTAATTTTTGACAAAGGTGCCAAAAACATATGGTGGAGAAAGACAGCCTCTTCAACAAATGTTGCTGGGAAATCTGGGTATCTGAACTAGTGACCATGTCACCCTGAATTTGTATCAACTCAAAGTAGATTAAGGACCTTAATATCAGACATGTTCTGCCTTCTAAGCCTGATGATTCATTCTCCGTGTTTCAGAAAGCATGTGTGAGATGCAGACCTGGAAATGGAAGCTCAGATCCAAAGAGTCACTGGCAGAGTGCAATGTCAGTGACCTCCAGTGAGAACTGGGCAGTACAAGGAGACTGGGATGGGCTGTCTTGCTTCATATGCTTTGGGGTGACTATTCCCATTGGAGCCGGTGTGAAACGAATGTATTCAGAACGTGAAAATGGGTTTCCATTTCTGTTTCTTCTTAGTTAGCATAAATAAAAAGATTCAGAAAAAATTTTCAATGCTGCTCATAGCAATAGCTCTGTATATGAATCATATTTTTTTGTGGCAGCACTTGTTTTGTTTGGGGTAGGGACATAAACCCTGAAGAGGGTAAATGTGCCAATGCTAGAGAAAAATAGTAAAGGTCTCCACTTGTAGCTTAACAAAAAGCTCCGCAGAGCATGGGGGCCCTAGGGGTCCCCAAGACTCTCTTTGACTTCCCTGTGAGGTCAAAACTACTTTTCTAGCCACAGTAAGAAAAGATTTGGCTTCTTTATTCTCTTCTTGCTAGTGTAATGGGGCCTTTTCCAGAGACAGCATGATCTGTTCTATCATAAGAAATTGAATGCAGAAACAGAAACAAAACTCCCCTTAATCCTCTATTAGACAGACATTCAAGAGGTTTGCCAATATGTAGGACAATGTCACTTTTCAAAATAAGTCTGTTTCAGAAAGTACAGTCATTTTTTATAAAACACATGACATTTAAGTTAACATGTAGTGGGGTTGTCATTATTTAAAGTAGAAAGTAAATTTAATTTCTAATACACTAATATTGATAGGCATCACTCACATAAATGAAAGCACTTGTGCCAGGCAAGTGGTCTACCACTTGAGCCATGGTTTCAATCCTTATTGTTTTTAGGTTATTTTTCAGATAGATCTTGCTTTTTGCTGTAACTCTCTTACCTATGTCACCCTCCTACCTGGGATTGCGGTAGTACAACAACACACCTGGCTTGTTTGTTGAGATGGAGGTCTGGCTAACTTTTTGCCTAAACTTGGCTAGAACCAGGATCTTCTCAATCTCCACCTGTAGAGGAACTGGGATTACAGACATGTGCCATTACACTGAGCTGGAATCCTTAGTACTTTCTAATAATGTAGAAATTTGCATACTATAGCCCATGACAGGATGCAATAGGCCAGATAATGTAATTGCTGTGTTCTCTCTGCTTCTACGGCTGGTTTTGCTTCTCCCTTTCTAATCTCACAAAGACCACCAGGCATAGCCTGGCTGAAGATCTGTTGAGAGATTACATTTCATGTCTTTTACCTCTCAGTGCCCTGTGGGATATCTCTGGGCACAGGTGCCTGTTGACACCCTTCTTCTTTTGGATAGGATCCACGTTCAGGCTCAGCAGTATGGAGAATCACCTGGAGATGTCGGCCTTACGGAAACGAAGGAGCATGACTCAGACAATGTAATGACATTCTTTAGAAGCCATTTGGGATGGCTTCCACTTTTGGAAGCAGGGCGTGTCATGACTGCTCAAATGGAATTTGGAAAGCAATCAATTATTTATAGGGACAATCTGGAAGAGATTTAAGTAGAGATTCCTGGTGATGAAGAATGTGGTGCTGCCAGGAATCAGGCAAAAATTTTCATCCACTTCGTAGTGTGATGCCAGGTGTGTTCCTCTCTGCGCTCCACCAGGGAAGGTAGGTCTGCCCGCCCACGGCGGAGAGGAAACACCCAGGCGTGGAAATGCCATGACAGGGATCGGTCCCCGTCGGGTTTTCCACTGACCTCCATGAGACCCGGCTCGCCCTAACTCCGCAGCAGGTAGAGCCGCAGACCAGGAGCGCAGCCTAGCCAGGTGCGGGTGGGGCGTGATCGTGGGAAGGTGTGATGTGGCGGGAGAGGTGGCAAAAATGCTCGCGACCGGGAGGCTAGGGATCAAGACATCTGGGGATCCGACTCTGTCCTGGGGTGTCTACCCTCAGGTGCGGTGGCCCTGGGTCTTCTCCCTCCTTTGCTGCCGGCCCTGCCCAGGTAGGCCAGAGCTGGCTTCTCCTGGGTGCGCCGCAGTTTGGGGTTTCCCTTTAGACCCCGGGGCCCAGGCGGACCCACAGGATCCCGGCGCGGACTTGGGGTGGGGACTCCGGGCCGCCGGCTCTTGAGGACTGAAATGGTGTGTGTAGGGGGAGGGGTGGTAGGAGAGTGGGTTCCTGACTTTCCTGCCAGCTCTGCCTCCCTGCCGGGTGGCAAAGAAAAATGTCACCAGGTCCCCACCCCCACCTCCCAACTCCTTCTCGCTGGAGTCTAAAGGCTCTGCTCTGAGTAAGAAGGGGACAGGGCAAAGGCCAGTCCTCCCCCCCTCACTGTTCCCCAAAGATGAAGGGCTCCCGCTTGCAGAGGGAAAGGCCAGTGGGCTGGGTTGGAACTTCAGCGACTCCGGTGTCGCGGAAGCCGGAGCCCTGCGCGGGCGGGGAAGGCGCGCTCTTTCCCTTCCCACATCTTCTTTCTTCCTTGTAGCCTAAATGGGGGTGCCGTCCTTGCTGCTCTGCAGGATGTCCATCGCGCTTCCACTTTTCGTCGGAGCAGGTACGTGTAGGTTCGTACGTCCTCCGGTGTCCCTGTCCCCTGTGCGGGGGCCGGCGCGGACCTCCGCGGGGATGGCGGGAGCCGGCGCCTGGCTAACCACTTCCCTAAGGCCCGACAGAACGCGGCGGGATGGGCAAAGGAGTTTCAGTCCCAAGTGGTCGGATGCACAGCCCTCGATGCCGCCTTGGAGCTGTGGGGTGACTTTGGGAGGAGGGGAAATTAGGCAACGATGAAAGTCAAGACTCGAGTTAAAGTACTCAAATGGCTGCAGTACTGTCTACTTTATATGCAAAAGTTATTTTATGATCAAGGATAAAAACAATGAAACGATCAACAAACTTGTAAGCAAAAAACCCGAGTAACTTGATTGAAGTGGGCTTTAAAAGTGAGTCGAGTTTTTAACAATCCGTTCTGGAGTGAGATGCATTTTACTCAAGGGTGGCAGAACAGAAAGAAAAGAAGACACGGAGGAGGGTAAAGAATTAGGGTGAAAGAATAGGAAGAGGGAAATCACTTCCAAGCGCAGGAGCCAGCCATCTGCAGGGGAAACTGAGGAAGTTCTTCCCTATGGATGCGTTGCTTCAAAGAAGCGGGCTATTTTCGGGAAACGCCCACACTAAGGACTTTTTCAAATAAAATTTCAAATTGCCTTAGCAGATTGAAGAGATGTAAGTTAAAATTAATAATAAACACCATTCTTTCACGGTCATTCTTGGGTTTTTCCTTTCTTTCTCTAGGTGCGTGCCACCACACTGATATGCATTATGAGACAATTGCAGTGGACCAACCTTTTGCTTTCAATTGCTCATACCCTCCAATAACTAATGGGGCAGCAAGTGTGAGGTGGTATGCTGCCAGCAAAATCCCAGTATCCAAAGACATACAGCACAGGATTCATCAAGAACAGACCTGGATTTTATTTCTGCCCTTGAACTTGGGGGACTCAGGAATCTATTATTGTGTTGTAAAGTAAGTCTCTCACTTAAAATAGAACTCATTCATATGTATAGCTCTCTCTCTTTTTTATATATCTTTTAAGAAAAATCTTAATAAACATCGAAAATGGAATGAGACAAATAATATTGTATATTTTTTTATTATGATCAGATGATTTCCAATGAACATATTTTAAATATAACAGATTTATAAACCAGTTTTGGGACACAAAATACATCTTTTCCCATTGAAAGTGTGCTTCGGGCCAAGCCAGCTTATGGTGTTTACAGTACTATTATCAGTGCCATCTGTGTTGAACACTAATTTTTTTTCTTTGACGTATGGCACATCCAGATAGGAATAAGCCTTCTTGGAACTGTTTTCACAGGAATCTGCTTGAGGCAGGGATTTGAAAGTTAGTAAATATGGAGGATGTTCCACACCTCATGTGAGTCCAGTGTGAGGAAATGATGACAATGAGTGACACAGGCCTGGTGGGCCTCTTGAGTTGTTTCCAATTTCAGGACAATTAGAAATAAAGCTGGTGGGAGACAATTAAGCTTGGAGAGGACTGTATTCAATCGAGCAGCATGAGCCCCACCAAAGGTAGCTATTGGTTTGAATCTGTGTGCATGCGCTCGTGTGGGCATGTGTGTGTGTGTACCAAATTTGGCCTGAAAGCTATAGTTTCCCTAACTTTGCTTCCCTAACCTTAACAAATTATTTCGTCTCATTCAACCTTGGTTTCCTGATCTGAAATAATACTGGTCTGACAGAGTTGAAGTGGGAATTAACTGATCCCCTGTATGAAACAGGTACTCCATTTTCCTCTCGTTTTGGTTCAGTAGTATTTGATGACACTTTTCTGTGCTGGCCCATGACCTGCTCTGGGTCATGCTAGGTTTCTCATTTCCATGCATTAGACAGACTAAGTGTAGGGATTTACTCACCAAGTGGTACACAAGTAGAAGCGGTGTGACCCTGTTTGCCCTGCTCCTTTCCTCACTGTTGGCCACTAGTAAGTCTACTATAGAGGGTTTTGGATCTCCGCTCTCCTAGACTATGATTACCATTAGCTGGAGTTGGAGATCATAACTTTATCTGGATGTCACACCCAGATTTAAATGATCTAAATCTGGGAGCTGTGAAATACTGAAAAATCATCTTTCGTAGAAATTAGACAAAGATTCTGCCTGCCATGGAAGAAAATGAATAGAATTCTAGGTTGTTAATATCCAGGGATGATACACATATAGTAAACTGTACATTTTTACTTTGAAATAATGTTAAATATACATAAAATTTGCAAAATGATATAAAGAACTCCATTTTCCCACATTTCTTTATAGTTTTTTCTTTCTATGTATGTATGCTACCCATAATACTTTTTAATAAACCGTTTCAGTTGTATGCATTGTACTCCCTCTACTACTTAATATTTCAATGTATATTTCCTATCAACAAGAGTATTCTCTTACATAATCAGAGTGTAGTTATCAAGTTCAGGAAGTCTAACAATCATACAACAGCTTAATCTTAGTTAATATTCTGATATTATTAATGAGCCTGTCAGTGGCCTATATAACTTTTTCCTTTCTTTAGCAGGGTTCAATTCAGGATCATGTATTGCATTTGTATTCCATAAATCTTAAGTGTCTTTTAATCTAGAGCAGTTCTTTGGTCTTTTGCTTTGTTTGCTTGTTTTGTTTCTTGGCAGTACTGGGGTTTAAACTCGGTCCCCTCTCACTTGCTTAGGCAGGTACTTTATCACCTGAGCTCTTCCACTAGCTTGGCCTTCATTTTTCATGGCATCGACATTCTTTATGAGCACAGACAATTTTATATTATAGCCTTCCCTTGTATTTGTCAGGGATTTCTTCATGATTAGGTACAGGTGAGCCTCTGTGGTTAGGATGTTTAGGTAAGTGCTCTGTATCTTCTTCAGCATGACGGCACCCCTTTCCCTCATTGTTCATTTGGATCACCTGATTAATGTGTTGTCAGTTTCACTGTTGTATAAGTAGCACTTGTCCTTTTATAATGAATGATTCATAGGATCCGTAATGTTTCATAATGTCCTTGCATAGCTTGGGATAATGCCTTGAAAATGATTTGAAAAGATGTGATGATAAACTGAATTGTTTGATTTTGTGATGGCTTAAGACTATGGGGTTTCCATCTGCTATTATCTTACAGGTCTAGAGACAGTTGTTACAGAATACCTATGAACCTAACCGTTTTTGTAAAACATTGGTGTGACACTTCTAGAAGGACTCCAGAAAATTTACCAGATGAGTACCAACAAATATTACATATGGGAAAATCTGGGAGCCTGACATGTCATCTGCTGTTCCCAGATAGTTTGGTTTTGCACTCAATAAAGTGGTATAAGGTAAGAAATATACTCCAATTGAATTTTTTTCTTTTAAAATACATTTCTTATAGTTGAATCTTTTCAGGCAGATGTGGTAAAGAGATTTGTTTGCATAAGCTAGATTGGCTAGTTTTAGCTACTGGTAATATTACACTGCAAATTATTTGTTATTTTAAGTCTTCTCGTTATTATGACTTTGTCATATTTTATCATTTGTATCCTCCATATCCACTAATTATCTTTATTTTTATGCTATCCTTGACTATCTTTTTCCCCCTAACGTTAGTTTGAATGGCTCCTATATGCAAGTGATTCAATAATTAAAAGTATACAAAGTCAGAGCCAGGAAATAGTTTTTGCACCCTTGTTGCATATTTGCTCTGACCTCATCAGAGGTTTGCACTTACTCGGCAGGTGCTCTATGCTGGCCTGGACTGTGATCCTATTTTAGGCTTCCCACTGTTGCTAGGATGACAGGTGCAGGCTACCATGCCTACATCCCAACATTTATCTGTTGGGATGGGGTCTTGCAAACTTTTTTTTTGGCCAGGGCAGGCCTCAAATTGTGATCTTCCTGATCTCAGCCTCCTGCATAGTTTGGGATAACAGGCATGTACTGATGTGTCCAGCTAGTTGAGATGCAGTATCATAAACTTTAGCCCAGGCTGCCCTGAAAATGCAATCCTCCTGTTCTCAGCTTCCCAAATAGCTAGGATTTCAGGCATGAGCCACTAGTACCTGGCTCACACCCATCTCTTAATGCACCTTTGCCAGTCTAGGAGTTTTCAAGACTACAGAACTAGTAGCTCTAGACTTGCTACATGGTACATGCATACAAATAAAGCATTGCACTCTATTGATTGGCAAATCAATAGAGTTGACAAATTGCTCTACAAATTTTGATAGGTTTATACTGTCACCAGTAGTATTTGAGATTTCCAACAATCTTGTGTATGACTTACTATTATAAGGCTTTAATTTTTTCAAATCAATTTTGTGGGTCTAAAATGTTACATTGTTGTTTTAGGTTGTTTTCCCTGAATTATTAATGAGACTTGACCAGTTTTTCATGTTTACTGGCAATTTCTGAATTCTCTCTGCTCATATCCTTTGCCATATTTCTCTTTTCACTTGTCTTGTCATTTTCTTCCTGATTTATAAGAGATTTTGTGTATTTTTATGTCTTGGGTACCAATTGGCACACATTAAAAATCTTTCCATTGAAGTTTAACATATACATAGAAAATACATGCATTCTATGCAGACAAGCTTTGATGGATTATCAGAAAGTGAATACATCTTTTAATCAACAAGGTTAAAATGTAAACATTACTTAGCTGGTGCTGGTGGTGCACGCCTGTAATCCTAGCTACTCAGGAGCAAGAGATCAGGAAGATTGTATGTTCGAAGCCAGCCTGGGAAAATAGTTCTCAAGATTCTATCTTGAAAAAATTCATCACAAAAAAGGCTGATGGAGTGGCTCAAGGTGTAGACCCTGAGTTCAAGCCCAAGTACCACAAAAAAAAAAAAAGATGTAAACATTGCTAGTACCTCCAAAGGCCCAGCTCTGTTATTCTGCAAAAACTATTCCTCTCTTATTACCAGAGATAACCACTCATCTGATTTATGCTTTTGTACTACTTTTGTCTACTGTTAGACTTCCAGTGTTTGAACATTGAGTCATATTGTATATGGGATTTGTGCATAGCTTCTTTGGGCCAAAAGTAAATGGTGAGAATCATCCTCCTCTAGCTCATCTATTTTCATTACTGTTTAATATTTTATTATTATTATTTTTATCATAGTTTTGAGTTGTTTCCAATTTTTAGATATTAGAAATAAAGTTGATATGAATATGCTTATAATGTTTTGGCACCCTTATGCATGCAATTTTGTGGAACATTTCATATAAGAATGAAGTAGTTAGGTCATAGATCATGTGATCAAAATCAGTAAAAAATGTCAGAGCATTTTTCCAATTGGTGTGTCAGTTTACAGTTCTATCAGCAGTGTATGAGTTCTTTTTGCATCTATATCTGACAGCACATGGCATCGTTAATTTCCTGCATCCTTTCCTCTTTTCTTTCTTTCTTTCTTTTTTTGTGGTACTGGGGCTTGAACTCAGGGCCTTTACCTTGAGCCACTCTACCAGCCCTATTTTTGTGAAGGGTTTTTCGAGATAGGGTCTCTGATCTATTTGCCTGGGCTGGCTTCAAACTGTGATCCTCCTGATCTCTGCCTCCTGAGTAGGTAAGATTATAGGTGGGACCCACCAGCTCCTGGCCCTTTCTTTTCTTTTATCTTTTCTTTCCCTTTCCTTTCTCCTCCTCTCTCCCTCTTCTCTCCCTCCCTTCCTCCCTTCCTTCCTTCCTTCCTCTCTCTCTTCCTCTCCTCCCTTTTCCCACTTTCTCTTGAGATGGTGGTGGTACTAGGGATCTAACCAGTGGCCTTACACTCTACCACTAAGCTACTCTTGTCCAGGGTTCTTAAATTTTTGCTAAGGTGCCATATACTTAGGCAAGGTAGGCCAGGTGATCTCTATTTCAACTACTCAATTCTGTTTGATAGGACAAAACCAGTTGCAGATAATAAGGAAACACATGTGAATAGTGGTGTTCTAATAACATTTTGTTTGCAAAAAATGGCAGGGAGCTGGATTTGGCCCATGGGTCATTGGCTCCTGTTTGTAGTAGTTCTTTATATATTTGAGTATCAGTAACTGTTATTTATGTGTATTAGTTATACGTGTCCTCTAGTCAGTGGTTTTCTTGTCTTTTTATTCTTGTAATGGTGACTCAGAATTTCTAATTTTAATGTAGTTTAATTTATTAGTTTTCATCATGAGCGGAGCTTTCTGTGACTTAAGAATCTTTCCCTACCCCAAGGTAACAAGATGTTTTCCTATATTATCCCCTAGAAGTTTCATTGATTTTCATTGCTTTTATTTTCATGTAGATTCCCAGGTCACCTACCTATTCTACAATGCTTTGCATGCTTTCCTTAAACCAAATTGCATTTTGTTTGTGGTTGTAGTGTTCTGTCGTGTGATATTGTATTTGTTTATTCTTGTTAATTATTATGGCATCAGATAAGTCCTGTAAGTGTTGTACAAGTCCTCTAGCCCTTCTTTCTCCTAGATTTTGCCTTAGTGATTCTAATTCCATTGTGTTTACACATACCTAGTTTGCTTGGATTTTTTTTTTATTATGAATTGCTGTTAAATTCCCTTAAATACCCTTTGACTTCCACATGATTTCCCTTTTTATTTTATTAATGTGTTAAATAACAAGACTGGTTTTTGAATGCTATACCTATTTTTGCATTCTTGGAAGCAATCAACATGACATGTAACTCTTTCTAAGCATCATCAGGTTTGGCTTGCTAATATTTTGTTTAGTATATTTGCACCCATAGTGGGAGCAATACTGGCCTGCATCTTTTGTTTCTTGTTATATCTTTGTCAAATTTTGATATGAAGTACATTCTACTCTTAGGAGTAAAATGAAAGCTTATTTTTCTTTATTCTATATATGTTTAAGATTGGTTTTATTTCTTCTTTTTATATGTGTTTAGAGTTTAGTAGTGGAGCCCCCTGGGACTAGTACAGTCTTTGAGGGAAAGTTTTTCATTACATATACCATGTCTTCAGTAGTTAAACAACTATTTAGATGATCTACTTCTACTCACAGCAGATGTAACATGTGCTTTTACAGAATTTTGTATTCATCCATTAATTTTTAATTATTAAGATAATATTATTAAAACATATTCTTATTGCCTTTTTAATGTTCGTAGATTTGTTGTGATATTTCCTTTTTCACTTCTAGTATCAAACAGTTCTATTTTCTCTTTTTTTGTTTATTAATCTTTTTTCTTTGCTTTTATATATAATTGGTAAGTCACTTCAAAATTTTTATTGGCATATTACACAAGGGGTTTCATTATGATCGTTCCATACATGCATATAGTGTACTTTGACCACCACCAGCCCCTCTATCACACTTGTTTATTCTGCCTTTACATTTTTGAAGCAGTTTACAATGGATTTCAATATTCTACTTTTATACATGCTTATAGAGTGCTCTGGTCATACTCATTCCCTCTTCACCCTCTCATTTTACCCTCCCTTCTGCCATAGGTACAGCCCCTGTTTTACACTCGTCATTTTTTAAGGCTAGATTCTGCATATGAGAGAAAACGTGTGAAATTTGTCTTTCTTTGTCAGTCTGGTTTATTTTGTTGAACACAATAGTCTCTACTTCCATTCATTTAACTGCAAGCAACATAATTTCATTCTTCTTTTTGACTGAATAACATTCCATTGTGTGTATGTACCACATTTTATTTACTCACTCATTGGTTGATGGGTACCTAAGTTGATTCCATACTTTGATGACTGTGAGTAGTGCTGCCATATATCATAGTGTTATATATTATATTTAGTAATTGTTGTGAAGGTATCTCTGTTGTATGGTGATTAATTCTTTCATACATATATCCAAAAGTGGTATAGCAAGATCATATGGTAATTCTATTTTTAGTTTTTTCAGGGATCTTCATGCTGATTTTAATTGTGACTGCACTAATTTACATTTTACCCATAGCATATAAGGATTCTTTTTTCCTTAAATCTTCATCAACGTTTGTCGTTGCTTGTTTTCTTGATGATAACCATTCTAATTGGAGAGAGGTAGGATCTCAATATTTTGATTGACATTTCCTTTAGGGCTAAGGATGGTGAAATTTTCTATATATTTATTGGCCATTTCTACTTGTTTTGAGGGCTTTCTGTTCAATTAATTTGCCCATTTATTAATTTAATTGTGTGTCCTTTTGTTGTTTAATTTTGGGGGCCCTTTAAATATTCTGGATATTAATCCTTTATCCACTGAAGAGCTGGCAAAGATTGTCTCCCTTTTTGTAGTTGTCTCTTGATTCTGGTAATTGTTTCCATGCTGGGCAGAAGCTTTTTAACTTGATGCAACCCCATTTGTCAATTATTGCTCTGATTTCCTGAC